GAGAAACTATTTTGAAGAAACAAAAGGAGGAAGCTACTCTCTCCTGGCTATCAGCCAAATGCGCCCCAAACAGAGAAAGCAACAAAGCTTCTGCACCATCCTGTGCCTTGGATGAAGCAGAAACTCTTGTACTTCTTTTCCATATCCAAATTTTTCCAGGGAACATGTGATCGTTCTGCTGATGGTGACAATGAAATCAGAAGTGTACATGCACTAAACATAATAGCAACAGCTGTTGCTGTTCATTCTTTGTTTTTGTCAGATATAATTCTTGTTTTCTCCTGATTCGTTCGAGTTAGAATGAGTTTATTACAAAAATGATCTTCATAAATATTATTTTACCTGGATATAAAATAATATAAATATTGCTTTATCTTAACTTACTGAAAAAAACAAATTCTAGTATCTGAACATTTAGCTATAAGGGGTAAAATGTTAGCTTTCTGTTAAATTTTCTACATATTCTCAAAGCATTTCAGATAATTGGTTCTTTATTAAGTGAGATTCTAAAATATAAGAAACTGGGTGCCATTAATCTTGATGCTATTTAGTAATTCAGTAAAACCGAAAGTGTAAGGAACAACCTTTGATATCTTTGAGGAATCTCATGGATAAAAAAAGGGCCAAGTCCTACTGAGAATAATACAACAAGGAAATTAATACAGCGTGGTTTTACTGATTTATTTGGGCATTTTTGTGTGGTGGCCCAGTGCTTTCCTTTTGCCTTTTGAACAGTAAGCCAGCTCCTATCTTTCCTTCCTCATTCCACTGTTTGATCACGTTTACTACCTGGGTAAGTATGATAGTATCCCCATGCTGCAATAAATCGATTGCGAGTAGACATACCTGAGTTGCATTGTACTCCACTCCACCCAGCAGCACAGGAACAGCCATATGGGTCAGGCAGACAGAAGTATAAACCTCTGCAGCCTTGCTCACTGAGACACCTCTCTTGGCAGTTTCGCCCAAACTGACCCTCCCTACATGCTGCAAAAGCAAGAAGATTCCTGTCAGAGAATTATTTTCATCTAAGCAATGGTAAAGCCCTGTTCCCAAATCTCTTAAGAACTAATCTCACAGTTATACCTTTGCTCACAGGACACTCACTAATCTATCTGCAGAGTTTCAGGGAGGCAATACATTGCATGGTTTTCTACCCACAACTGTTAATTGAAAAGAGTAGATCTAAATCTGTGGTAATCTCTATGGGATGCCAGAGCATGGACATGGAATTGGCGTTCCACAATTAGATTGCACTAATGAGATGATATGGCCCTCAGCTTCCTCTTCTTCACTTTGTAAATGACAAAAAGAAAAATCTAAAGATGAATAACTTCCAACATCTGCATCCATGCAGTTTCCTTTGCAGAATTATAAAATGGTCATTGCCTTCTTCTGGTTTTTTTTTAATTTTAATTTTACCAGACAATGCATGCCCTGTTTGGTTATCATTTCAGAGATACTTCCTTCCTAAACTGAGAAACAGAATGACCACAGGTGGGCAAAAAAGCCATAGGAGCAGGGGTGACTTCTGACTTCCTGTTGGCTTTCCAATTGAGTTGTGAGATGCTTTCCCATCCTTGTGGAAAGCTGCAGAAAGCATTGGAAAGCTTCCTTCCTTCCTTCCTTCCTTCCTTCCTTCCTTCCTTCCTTCCTTCCTTCCTTCCTTCCTT